TGGGATGGGATGGGATGGGATGGGATGGGATGGGATGGGATGGGATGGGATGGGATGGGATGGGGGGCCGGGAGCTCATCATGACTTGGCTGTCAGGCTGTGATGAAAAAACCCACCATCTGGGAGTTCAGCCATGTTCTGCAGCAGTCTTGCAAACGACAGTATCACACATACGGGCAAACGCACAAGCTCTCTGTGCTTCCTGCACCGAGGAAAGATCGCTTGACGTTGAAATGAGCCCAACGCTCAAAATTGTTCCTATGTCTCTGTGCCGGTAGTAAGCTCTCCTTATCCTCCCTTTACGAGCCCTGAGGAACACATCTAGCTAGTGGAAGGATCAGCACGCAGGAGGCGCCACTGCAGGCCGGACACCGTGATGTCCGAGAGGAGAAAGGAACATTTCTTTCCAACCTTCTGAGTGTCTCTAAGAGTGGCTTTCGGTTATGCATCCGATACCTTTCTGAGAGCCGCCCCTGCTCTCGGGCAGCCCAAACCCTCTGCCCCTTCCCTAACCCAGCTCCATGCTCATGCTCCCCAGGATCTTCATCCCCAGGAAGCACCGGCAGCGCTTCGATGAGGTGGTGTCCCAGAGCCTCATCAGCAAGCTGTGCCGGGCAAAGCGGGAGCCGCCGGCCAACCGACTGCGACGCAGCCGCAGCGAGGACCACCACGAGCGCCTGCTCATCTCCACGCGGGCCAGCTCGGTGCCCCGGAGCCAAGAGGAGGGTTGCCGGAGCTTGAGGAGGTCAACCACGCTGACTGGCAGCAATGTGGGGACCGGGGCAGCTTGCAGGTAAGGGCCTGCAAAGACCACACCCCGAAGGCGCAGGCTTTCCGAGCAGAGCCCCTCGGTCACAAAGGAACTGCTGCTGAAGAGTCTGGGCCAAAGTGCTCAGAGCGTGCTTGTGGGTCATTTCAGAAATGAGAGGAGGAGGAGGAGAAAATTGATTGATATATATGCATAATTTGTGGAGAAGTTATACACTTGACATATTGTGAGGAAGGGCAAGCTAGAAACCTGAACCTGAAGACCTGAAGGACAAAATCCTGCTGCATATGAAAGGAGCTGTTGGGGATTTTTTTTAATGGCTGGTAGAGAAGGAAAGAGGGTCGTTCCAAGGGCAGCATAACACACCTGTCCAAGACAGAACTGCAAAGACCCTCAGCTTGAAAGGATTTTTATATGTAAAAGGAGGCAGGGAGGGGTTCCGAAATCACTCCTCTGCAGACAGCTGAAGGTGGGGGCAAAGGCCTGGTTTGCACTTCTCGGATTCTCTGGCTGGTGTAAGGACTACAATTTGCTCTCCTTCCCCAGAACCGTTCGTGTCTACAAGGGCAGCAGAAGCTTTGGGTTTACGTTACGTGGCCATGCACCTGTGTGGATCGAGTCCGTCTTGCCTGGTAAGAAGAACCCCGATTTCTTGCCTAAGACTTTCATTTCCGGAGCAAACTTGGCAAGGTTGCCCAAACTTCTGTCTGAGTCAGGTATTTTATGAACGCATTTGGGTTCTTCACCTATTGTGAATTCTTCACCAAATTAACTACTTGACCAAGTATCTTGTTCAGGGGTACACAACTATGTTTTAGGGGTGCACTTGTCCTTTGCGTGAAATCCGGGGGCCACTCCAGCAAGTAAAAAAGGGGCTTTGTTTGCATGGTGATGGCCACCATCTTGACTCTTTTGACCCCTCCTGCGGGTGCCCCTGACCTGCCAAACTCCAAAAAGGGGATGCAGCCAGGGCAAAGAAGTGGGCAAAGCCAGAACAAAAATGAAATGTCATTTAATTCAATTTCAATTTAATTCAATTGAAATCTTGTTAGTTTTAATTCTATAATTTAAGTAATTCTATCATCTCCTAGGTATTTCATTATTTTCCTGCCCTATACAAAAAAACCCTACATTTCCATGACCACTTTTGGTAGCTACAGGTGGCCTCAGACTGTGTCCATTTGCGCCAGGTGGGAACACACAGTAAGAGTTCCTTCCTGGTGAGACCGTCAGACATGATACCATTTCATCCCTCTGGGTGCCAGGCCACCACATGCCCGGGATGAGGCCCAGGGCCATGGAATCAATTGGCGAAATTGGCGGGATGATCCAGATGTACCAACATCCTAGCTGTGAGAGTGTACCATCACACTGGGGCTGCTTCCCAAACTGCAGTGGGGCATGAATACTGGAGAACCGAAGGCTTTCTCCTCCTGTGGGGCTGTGAGGCTAGAAAGAGGCAAGGTCTGGTCTGACAGCTAGTGATGGAGACCCTTCCAGGATCTTGTGATTCTGTGCGAAGAAGAAGATGGTGCTGGAATTGCTGGTTTGCCTGAAATCTTGGGAGTGGAGGGTCAGCCAAAAGGAGAGGTGTGCCTTTGGGAGCCCAGCAGGCTCTGCAAATAAAGCGGTGCTGGAGTACTCCAAGCGTGTCCTTTTTTGCTTCGCAGGGAGTCCAGCTGAGAAAGCGTCCCTGAAAGCTGGCGACAGAATCTTGTTCCTTAATGGCCTGGATATGAGGTGAATTAGCAGCTTCTTTGTTTTTCCCCATGACCACCTCTGGGGTCTGATGTCCTTCTGACCCCGAGCTGGATTGCACACATCTCTTCAACGGCTACCCCGTCTGCGCAGAGCCCACCAGCGCTCTTAAGGGTGCTCCTGCTGCTGCTCCTGCTGGTGCTGCTGCTGCTGCTGTCCTTGATTTATCCTGGATTCTGTTCCGCAGGAACTGTTCCCATGAGAAGGTCGTCTCCATGCTCCAAGGTAGTGGGGCAATGCCCACCCTTGTGGTTGAAGAAGGCACTGTTAGCTTTTCCAGCGGTAAGCAGAGATTTGGTCTTAATCTTGGAATGCGTAGACTATTCTGCTCTCCTCATCTTGAGGCAGGACATCTTCTCCCCTGGCCCTCTGTCCCCAGCTTGTTCTTTTTTCTTCCTTTAAGCTGTTAAAGCTAACACCTCTGGAATCTCATTCTCCGGAGAGTCTAAAGCCCATGTGACACAGCAGACACCTTTGCAAATTCCAGGAACTTGGAGGGAACTGTGACCGTTCGACTGTTTTTGGTTGAAATGGTTAAGGCCACATGACAAGAGATCCCTTCTGACTTGCTGTTCAACTACAAAGTTACAAAATGGGAATGTTTTTACAAGTCCTGTTTTCAAACATCATACATATCCTAAGTAATCCTTACTGCAAAAGAGTATGTTTTCAGGGTTCTGCATGTACCCAGCACAAGGATAATAGTAAGGTTCCCTCTGCAATTTCTTCAGAAACAATGCATAGATTTCACACGAAATAAAAGGAACATATTTATTCTGATTTAAAATCAGATCATGCCAATAGGTTCCAGAGGTTGGAGTGCCAGCTTGGTTTGTTGGAATCTGCTTTGTCTTCTGTTTTAACAGTGATTTGCTTTCTGTGTCTAGATGGTGAATCATCAGAAACACCCAGCTCCTCGTCAGCACTTACCTCCTTGCAGTGGGTAGCTGAGATCCTGCCCTCCAGCATCAAGATCCAGGGAAGGACCTTCCACCAGCAACTGGAACATCTGCTCACACCACCAGAGCGCTACACAGTGTGCAAAGCACTGGAGAGCTTCTTCCAGCACAGGTAAAGCGATAGTGACTCTGTCCAAATGAAATATTCACCAGACTCTGCTCCCTTGTTGCTCCCTCTTGCATGAGCTCTACATTTGGGCTGCGTACCACACAGCTTTCGGGAGGAACTGTGGGGCTTGCAGTTCGGGGCAGGAGCACAGAGGTGGTGGTGGGTCTCCATTTACACCTGAATAAAGCATATCTGAGTCTGCTTCAGCAAAGCTTTTCTCTGGCATGGAGATAAAGTGAAAACTTGCCTACGCCTTTAGTTTCACAGACTGAGGCAACAGCCAGGGTGTAACGGTCTGTGGGAATGACCTCGGGGGACAGGAGGAAGAGCTGCAGAGTAGACAACTGTCATGCAAAACAGTGTTCTGAGAGCTGCATTTTCCACACATCTTGCAAGATGGATGTTAGCCCTTTGAGGTAGTCCAGTCAAGTAGGACCACTAGGAGCACTAACTCTGTTATAAGGTTACATTAACAGAATCTTGCAAGACTGAAAGTATTTCTCCTCTCCTTTCCTTTTAC